AATCGAAATTTATTAAAAATAGTTGTAAAAATAATTGAAATTTATCAAAATATTGGCAAAAATAATCAAAATTTATCTAAATATTTGCAAAAAATAATCGAAAAATCTTAAAATTATCCAAATAATTTTTGCCGGTCCCTGATTCATAACAACAAAAGATTCATACCTACAGATATTTAATAATGATTAAATGCCAATTCCATTAGCAACAATAATTGGCCAAAATATCTCATCATGTCATACATATATGCAGATTTTTGATAGTAAATGGATGCCCTATTTTATTCTTCATAACCTCTATTACTCATTCAAGCCAAAAATTCTATATGCCTACAAATTTCAACAATAAATTAATATCAATTTTAATAACTAATCCAAAGATTATTTTGCGTATTCATACCTGAAGACTTTGCAATAGATGAATATCTTAACTCATTTCATTTATAACGATAACCAAGCCAGAATTTTTCTGGATCCTTTATGCCTCAGGTTCGTAATCATAAGTTTTTTTTTTAACCGATGTCAAGTAATGTATTTAATACTTTATTTCATCTTTTTTAACTCTGGTTTCAATTGTATTAACACTGAATGATCGCTTTTTATCTAAAGAAATATTTATGTCTTTGGAGTGGAGAACCAAAGATTACGTTGTCTACAAGAGTTGCCACCTATAGCCAACTTTAAATTGCTTCGCAATCATTCTTTTTATGTTTTGCTCACAACAGTTTTACCAGAATTACCACCTTCAACAGATGCTACTCAAATTCTTTTCATCCTTAGCAGTAACTATACCACTTTTATATTAGAATCTAAGATTATATTGCTCCTGAAAATCAGCCGCTCAACGCCTTTTTTTTATTCTTGGTAGTGTCTATACACTATTTACACTATTTGCATAAATAACTAGTCGCTTTTTAGCTCCAATTCTGTATTCGCTCTTCTTTGTACTTTCTAATCAAATATTATTCTATCCCGACTAATAAAGTATAACTATAACTTATTAATATGGCTTAAATTTACTTACTCTTTAATATCTTCACTTTTTTCAAATTAATCTAATAAATGGTGAATATATTTTTGCTTATATTTTGCTTTGAAACACTGAATAATTCCTGCGTCCATAGGTTGGAGGTGTGAGGTGGTATAAGGGAGGAGAAATTTGATCCTAATATTGGTAAAGCGAAGTTTAGAAGGGTCTGGAAGTTTATATACACTCTTGTGACTTCTGCCGCATTTTCCCAGACTACTCCTTGCTCTCTTATTGTTTCGTATATTATCTCACTGATTGGTAGATTCTTCATCATCAGACGTATCTTGTGTATTACTTGGTATATTGGCTGTTGTTTTATTTGGATCAAAATGACATGCGGCACCATCTATTAATAATAAAATTTGCCGATTTTCAAGACAGAATTTTTTATCCAAAGTTTCTAACCATTCACCAAATATATCACTACGCATCCAAGCATTTTCATTTGAACGGTATGTGACAGGTAATGTTTGATGGTTTATACCAACTAAAGCTCGTGGCTCAATACTAGATCCAATCACAAGTGGTTGTAGCTTCTCAGTTCCAATAGCATTAGAAGCTAACAATATTGTAATACATATACGGTCCTATATAAGTTTATATTTTTTAGTCTTTTTTTTTTTTTTAAAAAAAAAAAAAAAAAAAAAATTTTTACACACTTTTTTCCAGCCAGAACATGGTTTCGAGGCTAATGTTTGATATGGTGCCAAGCGATAAAATAAGCTGGTTTCATTTGCATTGTATACATTATCTAACGTATACTCTTGAATAATTTCCCATAATTCTTGTCGAAATTCTGGAAGTGATTCAATTGGTGCACTCTCCGCTTCACTATGTAATCGAAAATTTTGCAAGTGATTTCGTTTTTTAAATTTGTTAATCCAACTATTAGAAAATTTCAATACATTTTCAAGTAATGAAAGAGCATGAGCAAAATAGATAGCTTTTTCTTTGATTATTGCCTCAGTTAAAAACAATCTTTCATAAATAATGCTTTTAACCCATAATTGTATAGCATGGTCTAATTGTGGAAATTTTGTTTTTTTATGTTTAAAAACTGTATCAGAAATTTCTGCTTCTGTTTTAGCTAACCATTGATCTTTGTCTTTTAATATTTTAGAAATAGTAGAATGATCAAGTTTTTTTTTTGAATCTTGAGTATTAAAATATAAAGCAATTTGTGATTGTGTATGAGTAGAATACTTTAAATGATATTTACAAATTTCATATTTCAAACTATCACTAATTGCAGTACACATTCTTTTTGTAATAGTAAGTTGATTAGACATGGTGAATAAGATTAAAATTAAAATTAGTGTTACAATTTTCTATATTTATATTAAAGCTTGAATTTAAAGTTTAAAATCGGCTAATTTTACATACCGTACAGTGCTGCATACAGTACCCCAATGAAAAGATCATACTATAATTATGAAAATTAAACTATAAATCACTTGTCAGAATATACTCCAGAGGGTTTGATATGTCTAATAGAAGGTATATATTGATCAGTAATAATTATTTGTATTATCCTCCCATCTTCCAATATTTGGGGTATAATTCAATCTAGGTCGGCTTTCTTGAAAAATATCTGGAGTACTATATGCCGGACTGTAGAGTACTATACATATAGGAGTACTATAGTATATATCCGTACAGTACAACTTTTTCATTATATAGAATGTAAATGAATACTGAAAGCAGTTTAAAATTACCACAAAGAAAATCCAGTTATCGAGGATTTAAGTTTATTGCTTACCAGACTAAATCTATCTAATTTGTTAGGGATTTGTTAGATATTGTGGCTGGTAAATTATATAATTTTAAATAATTTATTACACAGATAAATATAACAATAAATTAAAAAAGGTTTCACTTAAAAGTGTAATTAATTTATACACGTCTTACATTCATAATACCATTATATTATTATATATCGATATAACAATTCGCAAAATGCATATTAATTCTGAATTGTATAAAAAATCAAAATTGACTATGTGATTATATAGAAGTATTTTACTATATAAAAAAAATTATTTTAATATTAAAGTTTTTTTTTTTTTTTTTTTTTTTTTTTTTTAAATTGCTTATACACTTGTAAATTTTATTGATTTATTAAGATCTTAGAACTTATTACAATTAGTATTACAGTGTTTGGGTTGTGCTACACTAATTATTTTAATGACACCCACTCTAGCAATTTAGTTGTACCTTTGCTATTTTTGGAATCTAACTAATGGCTATTACCCTATCAATTACCTTCTAGCTGGCGTACAACCTACCTATTTCTATACAAGATCTT